GCCTGGTATCAGCTCCATATGTTTTTGTTTTCCCATGTAGTGTGTGCCTTCACCCATCACATTCATGGCTTGGGATTGACATTCCACCATTATATATATGAGTGGCTTTCTTTAGCTCCATTCCAACAGACTCCTCCAACCATACTCTTGACCTTCTTCAGGAGGTGGCTTATCTAGGTTGGATAGTCACTCAGTATTTGGTTCATTTGGGTGTGTACTTCACTTCCCATCTCAGCAGGGCACAGTCTTCTCTACTGTGTTCATGGACCATTGAGAGTTTTGTTTCCACAGCTCTATCCTCTTCTCTTCCTACATGAGAGGTTCTCTGTCTATTGGAGACTTGGACTTCCTTGGAACCCTTTATCCTCTGGTGTTGTGCTCACATGTCTTTTACAGTGGATTCTAAATGAACAATGGAACCTCTCTTGGGATACCTTGTCTGGAGTGGTCCCTCAGTGGTCTTGGCTGAGCACTCCTCACGTCAATGTATTTGCTACCTACAATAATGCCAAGCTTCTCCTATTATAGTAGCATATTCATACTATTCATTTAACCAAGACTCAGTAATAACATCCAACATGCTAACTACCACCAAAAATCCTAGAGACTTCTAGCATTAATATAAAAGAAACTAAGCTTATTTCAACTTTCTCTTTTTATAACTATGTTATTAATATTTCTCAGTCTTATCAAATCAGTGAGATGATTCTTTCAAGATCAAGTAATTTATTTTAAATTTTTCAAGTATAGTTCTTCCATAACTCTTTTACCAAGCATATTACATGTAGTCATTCATGTGCAATCATCATTTTCTTACCCTTAAAACCTATCTAGTGGACTTTTAATTTTCCTATTGATCCAGACATCTCAATAATATCTTATTTAAATATTTTATCTTACTTGAAATTTCTAGACCTAATCTATCACTGTGTAAAAGAGCTACTTCACTGTTTCTATCCATAAAACTTTGAAGTAATATTTTGTACATGGTTGATAAGTCTTTGAATCTGCCCCTACTAACATCATTAGTTTTGAAATGAATTAGGTCTTCTTTAGTTTCTGTCACTAAAATATTTGTTTTCTCTACAACATCTTGAACTTTAGCACATGCTGAGCAAATTCTAATCCTTTCTTTTTTGTAAAGGAGATTAAGCTAGATCAAAAACAATTATCTCAATTTATCAATTACAATTGGTCCTTAAAAGACAAACACATGGATGAGCAATGCTATTGTATTGTAACTCATATTCTCTCATTTGCCTTTTTTTTTTTTCTGAAAACAAAATTTTTATGAATCAGGTTTGTGTATTCAACTACTTTAGATATAGATCTTTAAAGATTTTCATGTGGGATATAGTAATTTTCAAAGGTTTTATTCTTTGCAAGAAGAACAACTTGTTGTGAGGAAAAAAGGCTTTGGTGTGATTTTAGTAAAAGTGTTTATCAATGGATCAATGTTGAAAAACAAATAATATATTTCTGGGTTTAGCTTACAGAAATTACAAACTAAATAAGGAAGTTACTGTAACTTTGTTTTTAGACTGGTGAGATCTCATTTGAAGTACTGTGTGTAGTTTTAACCCTGTTACTAAAGTAAGAGTATCAGTGTAGTGTAGAAATGAATTTCTACGTGTAGTACAGCACATGGTTTAAGAAGCTTAATATTTGATTTGTTTGCTGTGAAGCATAGGTGAAGTAAAGTGATATTTTATTCAGATGTTCTGAACTGTTATGAGTTTGTGTGAGTGTTAGGATGAAAAAGCAAGAAATACAAAACTTGGTTATGAAGGATAATACATTTATGTGTATAGTATGCAAATTTTTTGAGTACTTTATACTGAAGGTTAATAAAAAGGTGATAAAATAGCACTTTAAGCCCAAATAGTTTATTTGATAAAACCATAGTTAATTATACGTTGTTAAAATTAATAAAATATTTTTTTTGCTGTAGGAATCAATTTTGGAGTGATCAGACCACTTCCATTTGTAGGGGGGGGGGGGTATGCCCCCAGAAAATGTTTAGATATTAAATGCTGTGAGATTGAATCTTGAGCCATTTTAGCTACAAATACTGCATACACGGAATGTAATGGTGTCAGATATAAAAGACTGTTTAGTGTAAGTAGTAGTATTAATATATTTATTTTGTGTTTGTAATTCATTGATGTCGAGGCTATGGAGATTTATAGAAGGTCTAAGTGATAGACATATAAATAACTGCAACCAGATGAGCGGAAACAGAGAGAGAGAGGTAAAGTCACGTGAAAGAGAAGTTCGGTCAGAGAAAAGTTAGAAAACGTAAATTTAACCTTTGTGGGAGCGAATGGTCTAACCATTGATATGTTAGAGTGAGATTAACAGTTTGAAAGAGATAAGGAGAATAATTTGTCTCGTCAAAGGGTGTTGTAAACTAATTGAACCCCCCTGTGTGGACTTTGACAAAAGGCAGACGATTATTGGAAGTTCAGGATACAACTGCAATAACTCACGCGACAGCGTAAGTGAATTGTACACGAATACTATTGTGATAAAAATAGAGAAAAATAGTTCGGCTTGTCAACTGAATTCTAAAGCAATTGAATTGGACTAAGTGGACTTTTGACAAGAAGAATGGAACTGTATTGTGTAAGGTACACCTATGATCTCCATAGTATAAATAATGTTTGTACATACGTTTAACTTGTTTCGAATATATACATTATTTTAAAACAGTTGGAGTGCGTGCTGTTTGTTTATTGTCGAATTTATCGCCAACAAGTCACAGACACCTACTGTAGAAGAATCCGTAGCCCAACATACCCATATGTTTACATTACTATATATACATACTACTAAAAAGTCAGTTCTGACAAATCTATTGAATTAAAAGAAGCAAGTTTTAATACATAAGTTGTAGTTATACATGCCATTAAAAAGTGGTCAGGTCGTGGCCTGACTGGCCCTACCGTTTCTTACCGCCCTAATTTATATAAAATGACAAACAAGTTTCGACACACCAAGTATGTCATTATCAAGGTTAACACTAACTTACTTGCCTTTTGACAAATATTTGTTGATAATAATAAACTTTGGATTTGTTTGCTTGATTGTGTACCTGATTTGTATAAATTATTTCAAACTTTTGTTGCAGTGAGAGAAGTTCAGTTGTTTTAATGGGTTAATATGTATAAGATTGATATAAAATATTGTATGTTAAGACAAATTGCTATATAACAAGCGCAATCCGAGAGATTATGTACCTTTGCCCCGCAGCAAATATTTGGATTTTTGGTTTCAGTGTGCGCCTGAAATTCGGTCCTTATCCGATCACTTTTTACACAGTTATTATCAATAAACTGAGAAAATGTCCTATACATTCATTATAAAAAATGTTTAAAGTGATCCCGATCAGATTTGAGGTTTATTATTTTTCGAGATGCACGTGCGGACATACATACATACGGACCGAAATACAGTACCCTCGCCCCCGTAACAATTTATTGCATCGGTGTTGTAGGGGCGTGTACGCTGACGGCAATGTATTTTAACAGTGTAGTTTTGGGTTTACTTGCTGATTATATGTATTATTTTATTAGTGTACTTGAGAATGATCCTACCAGTGATCAATATGTCGTACCTGTTCTAAAAAATATTCTTTAAAAAGTTGCCTTGTATTTTGCTGAACGTACTTGCTCAATAACATGCGGAATATGGTATGTTCCTATCGTTATCATCTCATAGGATTCCCTGGATATCGTAACTATTTATAGTTCGAAGCATAAATACATCGCGTCAAGTAAACACAAAAAGTGAACGTGATTTACTATAAATTCGTACTTTTATTTTATTCATGTTGTTTTTTTCTGTCTTGAAACTGGCCAAATTAATACCAACGGTATGATAAGTTTAATTTTTGTTTGTTTTGTACAGCGAGAATAATACTTGTTTTGGTGTCAAAATCAACGTAATTAGAACTTAACAGTACAAATTTGAATTTGCAGTATTGTTATGAATCAACCCCCGGAGTTTGAATCCCACAGTGAGCAAAGCCAATTGTATAACTTTGTGCTTCACAATGAACAAACAAACCAAATGAAATCGTGAAATGATTTTAGTTCAGCATGTTTTATACCCGGTAATGTTTTTGTAATATTGAAATTAAAACAGTTTATTCTATAATGTTGCTCTTCATCACATTTAGTGCCAGATTTATTGTACATAATTATTATGGGCCGTGTTTAACAGCTATTTATTCATACTATATTGATGCAATACTGTAAACTAACTTTTAATTTAATATTGCTTTATTTAAAAACGACAGTCAGTCATTGAGCATGCGTACCGTAAATACGTTGTTTTATTTACTTCCCTGCGTAACCAAGCGGTTCAGAAGATCAATATATGGAATAATGTAGACAACTATTTTCAGTAAATTATAAGAACTTACGAGTGAAAGTAAATAATTATGTAATAGTATGTTATAAAGGATAAATGTTGTAGTTATAGAGTAAATTAATAAAGAATCGTGTATTAGAAGTAAAATGCACTGATAATGAATTTTGTAATTTCTTTCCGAGTGCTCTAAGACTTTATCATTTTAAAAATAGAACAGTAAATGTTATAAAATTATGTAAAGGACAACGAAGTTTCAATTTCAAATCAAAGTACTCCGTGGGGATAACATAGCTATTAGGGTTGTTAACTATTAAGCCATTCTGTGAAAAACGCAAGACCAGAACATAATACAATGTTTCACAAAGGTCGTGTTTACATTTTCAGCGGTGTTTATACCGTGACTTAGGTCAGTTACTTACGATTTCAAACATTCATTATCTCACTTAGTAATTGGATTGTTATATTTAACAAAAATAAAAAATTCTTATTTGTATACAGTGATCTCGACGCCCCTCAATCTATCCAATAGGACTGGCCTAAATATGTATTGATTAGTTGAGGTTTACATCGGTGGATCGATATACACTGCCGCGAGGAACTGTTGGTTATGGTTTCATATGGTCTTTCCTTGGGCGTTTCAGTTTCTGTTGTGTTTCATATTCAGATTGATAGACTGACACATACTTCCAGGGAAAGGTTTCATTTAGGGAACTTTAAATAACCTCTTTCTTAACTGCAAGTTATATGTTCAGCTATGTTTCCGTGTGAAGAAACTGAATTACTTTTATTTCAACTTACCGTAGCATAACTTAGAAACTAAGACTGTTTTAAATTGAACCTTCTAAGTTGTAGGTAAGTTTTTTGCTTTAATGAAATTAATTTTTATATATTTCGCTATTTATAAGATTACACATGTTAAATACACAAACATATACGTATGTAGTATTTAATCCATTACGGTTTCTGATTAAGCAAAAATTTCTTAGTAGGTTTAGACTTAATTAATTAGAGTGAACTTAGTCGTATTATTTATATTAGTTAATAATTTATTATGTAACTACTCGGTACACAGACGGATTGTCCGTAGTGTTTAGTTGCTTTTAGTTTTATTTTGCTAACTTATATAAAAAAAAATACATTTATTATCAATTTCATTTTTCTATTTTAAATGCAACCATCACTTTTATTGAGCGTTAACTTTTTATATAATTATTGAATACTTTAAAATAGTTATAAAATCTAACAACTTAAGCTCATAAAATCTCACATCAGATAACATGGGCATATGAACAAAATATATTCAAAACCTAGCAACTCATTTCCAATTTTGCTGATTTTACAAACCTGAAACGTAAGTTGCGTTTTATGGTAATCATTAATATTTATGTCCAGTAAAAGTATTTTCCCATTTTAAATGTTTTTGTTTTTACTTATTAAATAAAACTGGTGTATTATGCATAGACCTATAGCATTATTATTGACATTCATCAAGCTGGAATATGGATGACTGTGGCCACACAGTTCAATAGCGATAAAAGTACAGATCTATGTTATGTATATAAACATATTTTGTGTTGATGTACTTGTACTATACAGTACCAGCACATTTAAATAGTAAATAAAAGGCTATTTAGTGTACCTGTTTAACACCTTACTTAAATTATTGTTTCAAAGACTTTTAAGACTTTAGTGTTGTTTGTTGTAAAAGAAAGTATTTTATAATTTTACATAGTTAAAAACTTGTGAAACTTACAAAGAGTTTTGTTTATTTAAACTACTATCCAGGGGTATTACAGTTGCCAAATTATCCTGTTGCAATTTTGATTTTCTTATTTTTACCAAAATATTAGATATGGAGTTAGTAAAAACAATAATAAAGGTCTTTTTTTGTTTTTGTCATAATTTTTATACTAGAAACATCAAAGGTACAAGCTTCTACTATGTGCTCTTCACTCCTCTGTTGTAATTTTTGTATATTAATTTCAGTGGAAGGTAATGGTATTAAAACCTATTGCCATTTTGTTAGATATGCCATTTGCAAACAGTAGTATGTAAAATTATTTAGATAAAGTTAACTTTTTAGTGTTAACTCTTTATAAGTAAATTTTTCACTTGATTTATACACTAACTGTTCTGTGCTTACAGGTTATAAAAATGTGTTATTAAACGTTTTTGTTTTTGTATGCTATTACCATATGCCTAGTATATTTCTTCTTCAAATTCGTTGGTTTTGATTTTCTTGTTGTTTTATTCAGCTTGTAAAGGATTGCACAAATATAACATTTTTCTTTCACTGATCTTGATCTTATGTGTGTAAATAGCTTTATGGGCCAGTGATTAGCATTTGTAAACGAAAGTGTTCATTATATCGATAATTATGACGTGGATGTTAAACTATAACTGAAAGAGATTCTGGTGGCACTATTGCAGTCAATTTTAATCTTATTTAAATAAAGGTTAAAGATACTAAAGTTAAAACATTTCTTTACATAGATTGATTAACAGATGGTTGCATGTACAGAACACAGCTAGATGTGTAACTTGTGAACATGACACCAAAATACTATAGTAATAACAGTGGTTGCTATGCAACCATTAAATACCACTATATTCTCATTCCAGAAGTCATGAAGTTTAGTATCAAATACTTTTAAGAAACTCAAAAATAGTGAAATTATATATTTTTTGTTGCATTTTAATATTTCTGAGCAAATATTGATTAAGTAAACATTCACATGAATTAAGTATTTGTATTAAGTAAAATAACATGGTGTTAAATTTTATAGGTTTTTTTTTTGTCAAAATTTATTTTTCTTCGATTTCTGGATAATTGGATTACAGTAATACTATGTGAGTTGTCACAATGTGCATGTTTTGTACTTGATAACGTAGTGCAAAGCATATGTGGCTTTTTTCCTCATATTTGTTATAAGTGGAGTTTTATTTTCAAAGATTTTGAAACCTGTATGGATAATGTTTCTAAATGATCAAAATTTAATTTAGGATTACCACTATCCATAACTGGAAAAATATAAGAAATAATTTTTTGCCTATTTTCACAAATAGTTTCTAGTTCTAAACAGTTTAGTCACTACAGTCTTAACAGAACAACAGTCAAACAGTAAGTCTATATATTTATTATGATATAACATCTAAGAACTTTCTAGGTGATAAGATGCTAATCAGCCCCTGGTACTCTCTTCAGTTAAATAAACAAACTTATAAAACTTTTCATCCATCCCAAATAAAAAAGAAATATGTCTGTAACATTATCTAATAAAGTATTGTTGAATTATTTGTATGCTTTATGTTTCCTGTGTCCATCAGAGTAGAGACATAAAGCACACCAAGTACTTAAAATTGAAAAAAGTTTACTAATTGTTTTGTGAACTTGTTTGTTTACAGGATGAAATATATAATATAAATTAATGCAGTATTTTTGTAAGCTAAGCACCATTATAATTTTAAAAATATTTTTCTTTCAAGATTCTTGTGTAGCTTTGAATGACTGCAAAAGCGTGATGCCCAAAAGGGAGTTTGGAGAAGTTTCTCAAAATGGAGAGTTTAGGGAGGAAGTATCTCAAGTAACCTCCTCAAGTGTCTGTCCTGACAGTACTGAGTTGGAAAAAGAAGACAGTAATAGCAACAGTAGTTTGCAGACATACAACAGTGATGAGGCTCCTACAGTTTCGAGCAGCATGACTAGCACTGAAAACTCTGACTGTGACGAACCTCCACGAAAGAAGAAGAAAAGTGTCTGTTTTAACTCTGTCACTGTTTACTATTTTCCTAGAACACAAGGTTTTACTTGTGTTCCTAGTCAAGGAGGTTCAACTCTAGGTTTGTTTTCTTTTGGTAGTTGTATAAAACACAACACAGTTATGAAAATTCTATACCTGTTATATTGTCATACTGCTAATGTTAATGTTGTATAACACAATGAAGCTTGGCATGTATATAGTATCTTTTAGTGCTGTCTTAAGAAGAGTTTTGGTTATGAGTTAGAAGAAGAAAATTGTTCCAATTGCATAGAATTTTTTTAAATAAAAATGAATATTTCTCCCACTATTTGAAATATAGGTAAAAAAAAAGAACTTACAGTAGTGGATGGTATTTAGACTCAAAAATACAAATATCTTAATACGATAACTTTTGCTATTGCATAAATTTTCAGGTTCTGATAAGTTGCATCACGTTATAAAAAATCATTTAACATTTTAAATACTAATCCCCAAAATGCACATTTGTTCTCTACTCCTCCAGTGGTTATATTTTATCCCATTGCCAGCCTGGGTAATCAGCCTATTTCTTCCTAACCCATAAAGGAAGAGAGATTTGTTGCCTTGTGAGATCCTTTCATGTAATGTATATAAGTATGTTAAATACATATCTAATATTGTCAATTCTAGAAATGCTAAAATTGTAACACTTAAAGCAGTCAATGAATTGCCAAATATTCAATGCTATTTATTTGAGCTATGTACTTCTAACAGTGGAGCCTTTGACATACATGTGAAATTCTATGTACTGTAGAAACTTGCACTTGTTTGACATTTATTACAAGTGATCAAAACTTGTGGGTATTCATTTCAACAGCCATGGTTTAGAGTGTATCGTTCTATATACAAAATTTGGGAACACAGTCAAATGTAACTCTACATATGTTAATTCACTTGCTGGGCATGATTTGCTGTCATGTATTCCCTTAACAGCCACATGTTCTAGTGCTTTGTAGTTTTGATATTTAAAACCATATTCTCCAATTTGCTTCATTTTCCCTGATGAAGGCTGAAATTCTTGATGTTTTTGTCTTCATTTTCTCTTTTATATGTTGTTGTATTTTTGCTTCACATTTCTGAACTCCCCAAACTATTTAGTATTATATTCTTTTTTATCTCAGTCATTTTTGATTGAACTTTACAAAAATAAAACCAAGATAACCATAAGTTCTTAAATTTTTTGTGTATTTTCTGAGACTATATTTCACTTTTTTCATCCATTTTGGTAAACAATATAACTCCTACTTGTAGATATTTTGCTAAGAACTAATGCTATTTTCAACACAAATTAGAATGTGTAAGTTAGTTATTTTAATTTTTTCTAAGTTCTAAAAGATTATTTTCTAATTTTCAGAACTTAGATATGATTTTGGTGCATTCTGTCATTGAAACATTTTGTAAATTTGATTTTAATTTTTTCACTTTTATAGAAGCTAAACAGAAAAAGTTGAAGGAAACTTCCATAAAAACTTCATTTTGGCTGATAATTGTGGGCTATATTTTTGGCATTATTATATGCTTTCTTCTATTAGTTCTTAACTATGACAATAATTTATTTCTTTAGTGTTCTGTCCTTATAAAACATTGATTGGTTAAGAGAAGTTTTTGGAACAGTACTTGAACAATCATCTTGATTCTGAAAGTCAATAGAGATTTTATTTTATTGTAAAAAACATTAGTTTAAATTAATAATTTTGACATATTTTCAGAAGCGCTGGATAAAATCTCTTATTTAGCATAATTTGGGTAATTTATTTATATGAAATTCTGGTGGCATATTATTTGTTAAGATTAGTACAACATCTGTCATTTGCTTAGATAAAGGGTATAGTAGTTATATTAGGTTTCTTGTATCACAAACTAATTGCCAAAGTTCAGGAGTTCTGCCAAATTCCATCTGTAATAATCACTGGAAGTGAAAAACTAAGATATACTGCATTTAAATTACTTGATTAAAGCATCTTTTTGGTAGGTAGAAGTAATGGTTTGAATCCTACCCAGTCCTTTTTTTTTTTGAAATATTGTAATTTCATTGGATGATGTGTTAATTTCAGAATTTTTAAATACTCAGAATACAGCTGACTAGACCTTTTTTTAACAGGTTTAATCATTATTTTAATAAGACACCCTTAGCAGTTTTAATAAGGCTATTACTGTATGAGTGTTAAAAATGCCACTTTTAACATTAGTTAACAAGTTCTTATAGTTTTATGTATATATAAAGGATATATTATACTTTTCAGTAATGTGTCTGAATTATATCTTACCTAGTAACATGTTTTAATTTTTCTCACAAAAACAAGCTTATGCCTTGTGTTGCTACCTGCTATTTTTTTTCTGTTAGAAGCTAACATTTATATGCTGTTAACTGTTTCATTTATTTGGTATTTCTAAATAGCTAACTTTTTATAAAGAGTTGTGCATAATGATATATTTATAAAACAATGTAGACTTAACTTATTTTAGATATGGAAACAGAAAACTTTCAATGAACTTAAGATTGTTCAACCAATTTTTTGTTCGTAGGAATGGATCAGAAACATTTTCATAAGCAAGAGTTTACCCTGCAAGAACATGCTGATGAACGAAAGAAAGCTCATCGTGAGATGATTATTAATCAGAGAAACTTGGACCATCGATCATTCTCTGGAGGTTCTGATTCAGAAGACAGTCAGGATGCAAGTGACATTTCTGACTCTGAATTAGAGGGTGACAGCTGTTACTTCCTACAACCAGTTCCAACTAGGCAGCGTCGGGAACTATTGCGAGCTTCAGGAGTGAGGAAAATTGAATCTGTAGAGAAAGAAGAATGTCGTGGAATTAGAGCATCAAGAGAATTTTGTGGATGTGATTGCCGACTATTTTGTGAACCAGAAATATGTGCTTGTAGCCAGGCAGGGATTAAGTGTCAAGTTGACCGGTTTGCATTCCCATGTGGTTGCACACAGGATGGTTGTGGTAATGTTGCAGGGAGGATTGAATTTAACCCAATCAGGGTTAGGTCTCACTTACTTCACACTTTAATGAGGCTTGAGTTAGAAAAAGGTCAGTGCCATAATGGAGTCCCAATTCTTCCTCTTTCCACTTCAAACAGCTTAGGGGATGAAAGTCAGAGTTCTGGAGATTCTTCTGGTGTATCACCTACAAATAACTCTCTATATTTGCCATCATACTTACCATCAGCTGTGGGAAATTTACAAGGTGATTATTACTCTAATTTCTTGTCCTCTGAACCTGTAAGTGTATTGACAGAAGAGCCAGAAGAACTCTATAGCTCTATGTCTCCGCCAAGTCCTGATGGCAGCTCTTACTCTGAAAACTCTGATTATTCTAGTGATGAAGCAGAAGAAAAATCAAACACTAAAATTACAAATAAAGGCTGCAGCATATCAATGCAAGAATTGCCAGCTGAACCAAAATATGAACAGTTTCAAGAAAAAAGTGTGGAACCAATAACTGCTGACCACCCAACTATTTATATGGAAAGTGAAAACAAATATTTTGGTGAGCCAAGTACAGGTCAGTGTGAATATGGTCAAAAGATAAGATCTTGCTTTCAAGATCCAGCATCTTCATCTAAATTTAAAAGTTGCCTATTATTAGAAAACCAGTTTGAAGGAGAATATTCTGCAGGCTCCTACTTCCCACCAATTCCAAAAGCACTGCCTAGTGCATTTGGTGATCAACAGAGGTCCAAGCTTCCCAAAGTAGAGGAATCAAATACTGTTGAAACTACTCACTGCTATACTGATTTGAGCTCCTCAACACCAGTTTGTATTACTGAGTGGCAAGATTGTGGGAAGGAGCCATCAGAGTGTAAAGATAGTAAAGAAAATAAAGAATTGCAGAAAGAAAGTTTCAAGTCATCAGAAGACACTCAGTTATCCATCCATGAGGAAGAAACAGAAGGAAGAAACTTGGCAGAAATAATTAAACAGACTATGGAAGATGCAGCCTCTTCATAAAAAAATAATTTTAAAACACTATGATAGTATTAAGAGAAGTAGTAGGAAGGAGTATTTAGCTAAACCGTCAAAATAGTATATTTCACTGGATTGTTTTCTAATAACAGGGATAGAAATTTAAACTCAGCTTTTGTAAAGGGCAGACAGTTACAAGTAATTTTCCTTTGGGTCTGGTAGTAGCTTATTGGTGGAAACTGGGTATCGTAGTCTGTAGAACTATGACATTTTGTATGCCATGTCATTGTAAAAAGTATGTTTGACACTTTTACTAGACATTCTGGCAAATTATGTGTTCTTTTACTGAACAAAAGGTTTTTATATGTGATTAACTTATTTTGGTCATGTTTAGGAAGCGAGATGCACATGTATGTATGGTTATCTTGTTTTAAATTAACTTGTACTGAAATACACTTATTACCTAATGTTCTTGTACATATATGGCTCTTATTTCAGTACAGTTTTAAATTCTTTTAATAAAAAAATGTGTAACAGTGTTTAAACTAAAGACCACAAAAGCTTGCAGTATTCTCATGACAATATTCTATTTGCATGTATGTGTATATACACAAACACACACACACACACACATTCATTTTTTTTATTCAAAGAATTTATGAAGTATAGGCTTATAGTTGATCAAACTTGGAAGTTTGGAAGAGTATCAAGAGAATTGTGTGGATGTGATCATTGACTGATAACATGCTTGTAGTCAAGCTGAGATTGTGTCAAATTGACTTCTTTGCATTACTTTGTTGAATATATTGTAAACTTTTTGACAAAGATCTGAGGCTGCTAACTTCCATGAAGGAATGAAACAAAAACTTTGAATATATTATAATAGGAAAATAAGATTATCTTGAATTAAGTTATTTCATTACGATTAACAGTATGCTAAGTTTGAACCACTGTAGAGCTAATTTATCTAAAAACAAGTAACTTTCAGTCTAATTAGTTTAATACTGGTTTACGTAACATCAAGGCAAGACACATTCGATCCCCTACATGTATAGTTTGCAACTTACAGATTCCTTAAATAAGCTGTGTGTGCGCCAATAGATTGAAATGTATAGACACACACACTATTGAAATCTGTAATGCACTAGTTTCAGTGTGTTGTAAAAATTTTGCAAAGATCCGAGGCTGCAAGTTTGCATAAGAAAAAATAAATTATCAAATATGGTAAGTAACAAAGATAAGTTTAAATCAAGCTCTAAATGAAAGTTTTTTTTTTTAATATTGTTGCTGTTCTTCAGAAAGCATTGTGTACATGTTCCACTATTAACTGGCACAGGGTCTATTTGTATAAAAAAAAATTTATGCCATTAAATTTTTTAAACCTTATATAATCTACTTTTTCATGTATGTGGGAAATTTTAGTTTATCGTGTCATACAATTTACAAAAACTTTTATATACATGTATATCCATACAAGCATATATAACCATGTTTTTAAGTATACTTTTATCAAAAACATAAACATGGATACTTTTATTTTACAGAAAGTAAGACTTAAGTATCATATTAAACAAACTGTTCATTTGGGTCTAAATTGTTTTATTATTTAACATTTTTAGTAATAAATTAAAAATTATAATGTTTCTGAAGTATATTAATCTTTCATCTGTAAGGTTGAACTGACATATTTTCTTTTTTTATGTTTTGCTTTCTTAGACTGGAGACTTAATAATAATTGAAACTTCAGGTTACTAGTTTTTTTTTCTAATATCTTTTTTTTAATATGGTAGTTGAGTTTAGGGTACACAAAAGAAATACATATAGGTTAAAATTTGGTTTACAGGTTATGTAGTAAAAATCTGGGCAAAAAATACAAAGCTTTTATAAAATTTATAAGGTAATTAAAGTTACATTTAAAGATAAATTGGTTTAACTAATGTAACTAATAACAGAAAAAAATGGCCACATGTGCAAAACAAAAATTCAAATTGTGCCAAATATGTACAAAACTTAGTTTGAAAAATATATCCAGAAAAATTGAAGTTTTGTTTGGCATTTACAGTGTATGTAAATACTTTAAAATTAAAAACTTCAAAAAATGATGTTAACAAGAAGTATACGCGCCTATTTAACTTAATTTAAAAAACAAAATATACAAGATTTAAAAGCTTTAAAAAAATTATATTGCAAATGTAGAACTTATAATCAAGTATGCCATCATTATTTTAAGTTAATCATTTTTGAAAACAAATACTTTTTTTCGAATTATTATAAAAATATTGGATATAAATTGAAATTTCAAAATTTATGCTGTTTTATTGGCTTTATAAATGATTTTGTAATATAGTGAAGGCATTGATAATATTTACAGTATCTCATATCTTATTTTAAATTACATAATTATACTAAACTGTTTCTTTTCACAGTGTTTTTATGATATGGCATGATTTAGGGTTTTCTGTTATGCAAAAACAGTTGTAAAGAGCAAATTTTGGGTTAAGAGCCATTTCCAAAACAGAAGCAAGTGTCATTTTTGTAACTTGCATTTTTAGAAGCATTGCTGAAGGTTATTGTTTTTTAGCATTATTTGTATTTAACCACTTCTAACCAACTAGTATTCCAACCACAGTTAAAAAATAAAAAAACAGATCATTTGGAAGCTAGAAAGGTTTGCTTTTGCAACACCAAACACAATATTACTATTTAGCAAAGTTACTGCAGGTGTTTTGCAATATTATTCCATATAATTTTTACAAACTCTGCTGTGGTTTAGATGTTCAAGATACTAGAATTTTATTAAGAATCATGTAAAATCAGACACAATGGCAAAAATATTTCCATAATGATTATCTTATTTCAATGGGGAGGCATAAACTTGTTAAAAAATTCTTTAATTCTCCATGATATCGTTTCAGGTAGTAAAATCTGCAGCTATGATGAACTGTTTAATGAAACTTTCTTAACATCAGAGAAATATAATTAAAACTAAATTTACCAGAATACCACTGGTACTGATTAAATAAGTAATTTTTGTGTAAATTTGTTAGATTCCAGTTGTTTTTTTCTTAACTTTATTTACATCTCACCAAAGAAGAAATAAAAATACTCATTAAAAAAAAAAAAAGAGTTGTGTGATTATATTAACACTGAACAAGCTTGAAAGTATAAGTAATTCAGTGACAATAAATTGGGTAGCCTGAAATTGTCTCAAATCTCTTCTACGTGGAAAAACGTTTGCTTTGCAGCACCAAACATATTGGTCCTTTGTTATTCTTTGTTGTGCATATATCCTGTTTCCATATATTTGTGTATTATCTGAAACAGATGAAAATTAAAAATGATTATTATAAATACTCTGAGAAAAGTAGCTTTTACACTATCTTTTATATTCAGCTGTTCAATGTTAATTATCTGGCATTTAATTGGCTTCTCTTTGAGAGTGACTTGGTTTTACTCATTCCTATTATTTTTTTAGAACTTTTGAGATGGAGTTTCCACTGTTTATTTGTACCACATTTGGTAGATATAACAGAACGGCAAACAACAAATTATTTGGGAACTAATAATTCATGAAAAATGTAGTATGATTATTACACACTTATGAACAACTTCAACATACATGAACTGGTATTGAATATATAAATTTGTCACTACTATTAATGAATCAAAGAACCAGGAAAACAACTTTTCAAAGTCTTGTATTTAAACAAGTGTTTATAACTATACACAACAAAGCATAGATCTTGCATGCCTTTATACATTTCAGAGTGAAGACCGAAATCAGACTTGTTTTCAGAGTGAGGTGTGACAGTGAACATTCAGAGTAGTTCTCACTTTAACTGTGAGATGCACATTTGTAATTGGTTCTGAAGAAAGGTGCACATATTTAATTGCATAAAAGTACGCATTGGAAAAGGTCAGCATTTGATATTAAAATGTAATTGATATAAGAAGTACTAGCAATTTTCATTTAATGGAAAGAAATTTTCATTCTTTTAAATATTTTTGGAATGATGTACATGTAAATTATACATGCAAACAAACTAAAAAAGCATTAAGCACTGTACTGTCATGTTAATTTCAAACTCGTAAAAATTTCTACATATTATGAACTTTTTACAATTTTTTACTTTCCTGCCTTTAAAATAAAAACAGCATAAAAACTTGTTTTTTACATTAACTGGAGATTGTCTTTAAAACTTTTATTTAAAAGTACTTAAATTGAGGAAGCTTTAAAGTGATAGCAGTGACTACTTTTTATAACATTGGTCATGAATGAAATTCTTCAAGAAATGCCAGTTCATTTGAAGTATTTCAGCCAGTTTTCACATTAACCTGTATTCAATCTGAAAGAAATACTCTGTAATAATGGATTTATTTATACAACAAAGAATAGTGGCTTACAAATTAGGCAAAATATATGAAATAGTTACTCTGAATTACAAAATTATGTTTTTGATTGAAATTGGTATGTGTTGGGCCCTGTGGTAGAGCTATAGATATCTGAGATAACAAGCCATATTCGAATCTGTGTGGTATCACAAAATTCCCTCTAACACTTTAAGCTGAGGATGCATTATTAGAGTGACAGTCAATTCCTTAACATGGGTGGTAAAGTATGTTGAGTGGATTCCTTTCTCCTGATCACTTGTCAGTAGTTCAAAACTAGGAATAGCAACAGATAGCCTTAGTAGCTTTGCCATAAAGGCCCCTCAGTGGCATAGCGGTATGTCTGCGGACTTACAATGTTAGAAACTGGGTTTTGATACTGGTGGTGGGCAGAGCACAGATAGCCCTTGTGTAGCTTTGTGCATAATTAAAAACAAACAAACTTTGCCATAAATACAAATAGTTTGAAGCCTGAAATTTTGTAAAATTATTTTTTTTTATGAATGAATAATATATGTTGTTGTTTTTTTTCATATTTTAAAAAGTTTCAGTGCTGACAGGAGGATGGAAACCATTTTCAATTAAGACGACAAACAACTCCAATTAAATGTTTGTTTATGCACCCAACGTTGCCTTTTTCAAGGGTCTAAGAACGTCACCTGTGACGTTCATAGTCTCTTGAAAAAAGGCGTAAGCCGAAACATCAGGTAGAATAGATAAACACTTGTCCGAAGTTGTTTGTCGGCTTCTTTGAAAATGAATAATATGTATATGTTACTGAAGCAATTCCAAAATTTTCTGCCTCTAAAGAACTTGTATTTTAAAAATACCATTGGTTTTGGCTCTGATATAATTATTTTTTTTTCTTATTGATATGCCAGAAACATGATTAAAAATGTGCATACATTTTATGCTATATTATTTATAACTTTAATATTGTTGTATCAGCGAGGTCACGTGACTAGTATCACGCCACTTCCTCTCGAACCTTTGTGAATTGTCGGGAGACTACTAGATTGGGGGTAGTCTGGTGTATATAAGATGGTCACAACGTGATGGAACAATGTATAATTGAATGAGTAAGAATATTGTTGAGCACGTGAGACGTTCGTGGTGAATTATAGCGCGACTGTTGAAATTAAGTGTATCGGAAAGTTGTATTCAGAAAGAATAAACCAGTTTTATTTAAGAAAGGACTTGTGTCGCTAAAGTTTCGTCGGAACAAATTTACGGAAAATTAACTAACGAACGGAGACGTAACGATATATATATCGAATTTCGGAAATTTCCAGTCAGTTGAGAAAGAATTTTTAATCTTTCAGATAATAGAAAACAAAATCCCTGAAGGTTTTGCAAAATGTTGTTAGATGTTAAACACTCCTCTCGGAAGAAAGAAAAAAGATAACAAAATTTTGAAATTTTTGTTAAGTAATGAAAGTAATGATTATATATTTTTTTG